CAAGGATGGCTAAGAATGGAGAAGATTGACTCGGATTACAAACGACGAACTTAAAAAATTTAGGTTAAACCTTTCAACATGCGCACACCGTGGTGTAAGTCCTTCCCTCCTCCCCGGAGCAGTCCATCTTCTGGCAACCTTGGGGTGTATATGCGCATTCAGGGCCATTGATGTGTCCTTTCCGTCGCCATGTGGTGCTGTTTGTCCTGTGGTAAGGATTTTCGTTAGAGTGGGTGCTCGGCCAAAAAATCCTGAGTACTTTCCTTACACGTCTTCTTAAGCTTGAAATTGAAAATATTCCAACATCTTTGTCGCCACTTCCTCCAATGCACAAGTGACTACTTTTCAACTCAAAATCATTTTCTGATCGAAAAGACAACTAGTTGTACTCCTTCTCGAATCAACTGACAAGTGCAATATTTTTGTGCGATTCATTTATGTTTACTTGTTGTTCCAATCTTCCCGAGAATGTTTTTTTGGCCATTTTATTTAGGCATGAAGTGAGCCTGAGATTAATTGGCAAAGAACCATCAATCATATGCTAATTAATGATACAACCAGTTGTAGTGCTATCTTAACGTACACCAACACTAATAAGCCTATTGGCGAGGGCAGTAGCACCATTCTTGTTGAAGGCTACACCCTTAAAGTTGGATTGAGTTGCCGCTGTACGGAAGTAAGGCGTGGTACGATCATTACACCAAGAATTACACTGCTTGTAACAGCTACTCGTGTAACCAGAAACGAAGAAGCCAGCGTAGAAAGAAGTATCGCAGATANCCTTAAAATAGTAGTTTGCTAAGATAGAAGAACACTAAAGAGATGATAATCTACCATTATGGAACAAGGATGGCTGAGAATGGAGAAGATTGACTCGGATTACAAACGACGAACTTAAAAAAGTTAGGCTAAACTTTTCAAGATGCGCACACCGTGGTGTAAGTCCTTCACTCTTCCCCGCAGCAGTCCATCTCCTGGCAACCCTGGGGTGTATATACGCATTCAGGACCATTGATGTGTCCTTTCCGTCGCCATGTGGTGCTAGTTGTCCTGTGGTAAGGTTTTCGTTAGAGTGGGTGCTCGTCCAAAAAATCTTGAGTACTTTCCTTACACGTCTTCTTAAGCTTGAAATTGAAAATATTCCAACATCTTTGTCGCCACTTCCTCCAACGTACAGATGACTACTTTTCGACTCAAAATCATTTCTGATCGAAGGGACAACTAGTTGTACTCCTCCTCGAATCAACTGACGAGTGCAATATTTTTGTGCGATTCATTTATGTTTACTTGTTGTTCCAATCTTCCCGAGAATGTTTTTTTTTTGGCCATATTATTTAGGCATGCAGAGAGCCCGAGATTAATTGGTAAAGAACCATCAATCATATGCTAATTAATGATAAAACCAGTTATAGTGCTATCTCAACGCAGACCAACACTAATAAGCCTATTGTCGAGGGCAGTAGCACCATTGTTGTTAAAGGCTACACCTTTAAAGTTGGATTGAGTTGTCGCTGTACGGAAGTAAGGCGTGGTGCGATCATTACACCAAGAATTACACTGCTTGTAACAGCTACTCGTGTAACCAGAAACGAAGAAGCCAGCATAGAAAGAAGTATCGCAGATAAGCAGCTGGTAGGAGTAGGCGTTGTTTGCANCTTCTGGCAACCCTGGGGTGTATATACGCATTCAGGGCCATTGATGTGTCCTTTCCGTCGCCATGTGGTGTTGGTTGTCCTGTGGTAAGGTTTTCCGTTAGAGTGGGTGCTCGTCCAAAAAATCTTGAGTACTTTCCTTACACGTCTTCTTAAGCTTGAAATTGAAAATATTCCAACATCTTTGTCGCCACTTCCTCCAACGTACAGATGACTACTTTTCGACTCAAAATCATTTCTGATCGAAGGGACAACTGGTTGTACTCCTCCTCGAACCAACTGACGAGTGAAATATTTTTGTGCGATTCATTTATGATTACTTGTTGTTCCAATCTTCCCGAGAATGTTTTTTTTTTTGGCCACTTAATTTAGGCATGCAGAGAGCCTGAGATTAATTGGCAAAGAACCATCAATCATATGCTAATTAATGATAAAACCAGTTATAGTACTATCTCAACGCAGACCAACACTAATAAGCCTATTGTCGAGGGCAGTAGCACCATTGTTGTTAAAGGCTACACCTTTAAAGTTGGATTGAGTTGTCGCTGTACGGAAGTAAGGCGTGGTACGATCATTACACCAAGAATTACACTGCTTGTAACAGCTACTCGTGTAACCAGAAACGAAGAAGCCAGCGTAGAAAGAAGTATCGCAGATACGCAGCTGGTAGGAGTAATCGTTGTTTGCAGCCACGCCGTCCCACAATCCATAGGTACCAGCAGCCTTCCCATAGTTCCCAGCGGCCGTTACGGGCTGGTTGACTCTTCGCTTGAAGTAGGCTTTGTTTCCAGTTTGGTGATCGATGAAGAAGATTTCTGTGAACTTATAAAACGGAAACATAAGTTTTTGGTCGTAGATGAGTTATGGGATAAACAATTTTCTATTTTGTCTTCGTGACAAAACCGAACACACTCAAAGGTTATGAGGCATGGGCGCGTTGGTCAGCCAGGCCCAAGATATGTTTTAATCGACACAATAAGATTACAACAAAGTGGATAAAAGATGCATCAAATGACATTCTACCTCTTATTAGGAAAAATAGGGTCCGTGTATCCCCGACCGAATACAGTGGTGCCACTCACAATAAAATGGAAGATAAATTACATAACGCTATTTACACAACACTAGAACAAAAAATAAACCTTATCCGAAAGTGCTAGTGGCAAGGCTGACCCTAGAATGTCACAAGTTTCTCAATCGTCTCTTTTTACAAACCGACTAACCATGAGCTTTCGCGTACTACGCTGTTACCCAGTTCTCTGTTCCGTTTCGATAAAATAGAAATTTTACCACAAATTACATTTTCACCGATAAAATCTCGTGGTATAATCATTTTTTCCACCAAAAAATAACGCCAACTACCGTAGACTAGAACATTTGGCATTGCTATGCTGAGAGGTTGTCTTTAAAAATTCATGTCGATCATCAAATTAACGATAAAACGAAAATCCAGCGTTTCTCGCTCGCACACGTTTTCCGCGTCGCGCGACAACTACATTGTAACTCTTTGAAGTTTTGATTGGTTCACTGGATTGTCTTCTCTGTTGATTGGCCAGAGTGGTTACCTTTGATTTGGTGTCATGACCGTCAATTGAAAACTGTTCAAATCACCTTATTTGGATCAAATTTTATCTAATAATTATTACCAGGTCTAGGCCTCAGCCGGAGGAAATATGACATCGACATTAACTACAGAAAGTCTTGGTTAACAACGACGCCATGGACCGACGGTTCAGTGCTACTCAGTAAATCAGGGTAGAAGGTCATATTTTGAAGCATTGGTTATAGTCTCTTGCCTGGTTTTCCATTATTTTAAAAAGTAATCCTCCGTGTAGGAAAAAAGATGGCGACTGGTACAAGTACCCATAACTCGTAGCGCGCAAACACCATAACAACGCCCATTAAAACTTACAGGAAGGTTCTAGAAGCTTCAATGTGGTTAATACAGGAACGAATTCTGACAAAATATAGTTTTCCTTCTGCCTAATGGGCTGTGTTCGCTTCGATAGGTATTGTGGTAAAATATAGAGTCGCCATCTTTTTTCCCCATTGAGGATTGCCTTTTCTCCATGATTGACTAATGTATGATCAGTCAACTTACTGGGATGTTGTTGCAGTTGGTCCTGTAGCCGTCACTTCCATAAGGAAACTGAGCGCTGTATGTGACTTCAGTCTTGGCTTTGACATATTCATCAGTAGTGTAACACATGGTCCATCCTCCATTGTGTGACGTCATGTCATAGTAGGCCAGAAATGCGTTTGAATGGCTTCCTCCATCCGGGTCCAACCAATACATTCCATCTTGATAAATACCCCGGTTCTTGATTTCCCGACAGTCAACCGCTGGACCTGGTTACACAGAAAATTATTTTACACATGTTGACAAATCCCTCGACCCCTGATCTTCAATACTTGTGTTATGGTTGTTCATGGTGGTGAAATAATTTATATAACAAGTCAAATTATTCTCGCATTTTCATTGGTCGTTACTTACGATCATTTGTAAGGCAGATGTATGAATGACGCCAGTAACATTTTTTGTTCCTTTGTTGTACAAAACAAATAGATTCCATGTTGCCGTGCGTCTGTTCAGTAATAGACCACAGAATACTTAAAAACGTGGTAAGAACTTCAAACACGCACTCGGCTATCACCTCATGGACCTCTGTTTTGTTCTTACCATATTTTGACTTCATCTGTGATCAGTTACTGAACAGACGCATGGCAACACGGAATCTATTTGTTTAAATCTTTCTCACAATGCAGATTGAGAGTACCTCGTGAGTGGTCGATCACATCGTGTGGCTGCATCACAAGTGACCAGATTGTGAAACAAACGATTATACGTCATAATTATGAAGAAAAAAAAAATGTCATAAATTACCTAGTATTTCACAGTGCTTTCCATGAAATCCAAGAGGGCAGGCGCACTGATAATCACCATCTTCATACTTGGCCACACAAGTTGCACTGTTCATACAGGGAATGCGGGAGCAAGGACTCTGTTTTCACCAAAGAAAATAATTGTCAACAGCGACACTGAGTACATGCTGTGATTTAGATGCACGTTAATTCAGATTTGTAAGGTTGCTAATTTTTTCAAACTTTTGATTTACTGATCACCACCTTTTTGCTTATGTTTGTGCTTGTGCTTCTTTCATACTGAAAACCAGGCTCCGGGGGGGCACTCCCATATAAAAATCATTGGGGCTTGTCGTACCTTTTAGAGGTTAGAAAGAGCGGTTTTGGTTCCTCATTGCGTGTTCACCCTCAAATAGTTCACAGCCGGAGCTTTTGTGGTACCTTTTGGGGTATTGCGCCGAAAAAAAAACATATGGCATGAGAGAATGTTCGGTTTTTTGAATTGGTACCTCTGAGGAGAGAAAAAAATTTCAATTCACGCTCACAACGCAAGATCTTGGTACCTTCTCTTAGATGGTCTTTTCAAAATTTCCGACGAGCAACCCCAGTCCCGGCCCCCCGGAGCTATCTGTTTTATATAAAGAAACCAGAAAGTGCAGTTAATGTTATTGACGTCACTATACGTCTGTCCCCCGATAGATCATAAATAACAACCAATCAAAACGCGCGAATCGTTTGACTTATATATAAATACCCAGTGTTATTCTAACTACACGTCTTAATTTGAAAGAGAAAATTTTAATGTTGTTCATACTAAGTTCAAGATTATTGTAAAAAATTAGAAATGGTCAATTAGTGATTCCGTGCGGAGAATTTAAAGCCAAGTCTTGAAGTCTTTGCTGTAGAGAATGCGTGTCACATATCGATTCAGTCTTATAAAATCTGTTTCAATTATTTGTGACACTTTACGAGAACACGACTGTGGCCAAGGCATACGACCGAATATCGTATTTTACTGTATAGTGATCTTGTAATAAACAAAAAATTGTTCCTTTTTTGGCGATGACAATTCTGTATTCAAAACGACATAACAGTTACCGAGAAACCGTAGTACAGTATTTTTTTACAGTTGAACTCTCAGGGGAAACGAAAAATAGTTCGAAATAGCGGGAGTTCGAAATATCCGATAGTAAATGACTGAAGGACAAATCCAGGAGGAATGGTTTGGAGTTCGAAATAACGGGGAATTCCAAATAACCGAATTTGAATTTTCGGGGTCCAACTGCACTTACCTTGATACTCAAGTGATGGAACATTGCGCTGCCAATGAACATGACAGTGACAGTTGGAATTGTTGTATCTATCACTAGGTAACAGTTCACACAAAATCCAGCCATTCCCATCACGAAAGGCAGCCACATTAACCGAGAAACACGATGAGTGATGGACACAAAG